CACTTTCCAGTTTCTTTCCCGCAGAACCCATGATATGCTTTTTCAGCATTCCTGCTAACTAATTCCCGATGATGCTTTCAAAATCCTCGAACATCGCAAGGACAACCAACCAGCCTGGGACCTTTTCTATTTCATAGATGTTACACCAAAGAACAACCTTTCAGACGATCAGATTTAAGTTCCGTTCGCCCTGTAAATCAGCTTGACATCAAACGCATTACCTCCACAACTGTCCGTTAACTCCCCTGTCGTGCCTCACATTCTGGGCACACGTAATACTCAGAATTTCGTGGTACCAGCATTGTATGTGGTAAAAGCCCGCTCCCATCCCTAATTTAGCGGATACGGGAATTGGAGTCGTTTCCGGAATCGACAAATGAACGGTCCGTAAGCCTGCGTTTCGCTGTTCTTTGCAAACCTGCACTTATAGGTTGCCCACATTGATATCTGGACTGCAAACGTTTCGTCAACAATTGAGGTAACACCACCAATGCTCGGTTATGTGCCCGCTGTGCATCATTTTCAGATCCTGACCTTGACGCCAGTGGCTCGATGCACAATGCATTTTTTTGCAAAACCCCTGCGGGCGAAATAAAAACTTTGACGTCAAAATGTTGCACTTCTTTGCATATAAGCTCAGACTGGACATCCCCCTCATCTGCCGTCAGTTTTTGCGATTTGTTTTAATCGATCTCTTTTGTAAATTATGGGCTCACATTCGGCTTTGAACTTCGTCTCCTATGGCTTCGGAAGTGGCTTTCATTGAAAAATTTGTGGGTATCATTTTCATCCTTCACGGCATTTGATAAGACTTTAAATGAATACACGACGGATAACTCTCTGATACTTGTGCGTTCATCCAGTAATCGAAGCACCAACGTTATTTTGCGTTATGAATGGGTGTACTACAAATGCAGCAGGCACCCTCCAAGGCCAACGGAATGCTGTGGAATCCGAAGAAGCTAGTAATCCGAGCGTATTTTCTAATGAAAAAGTACGCGAAACACCAGCTGTCTAGTGCGGTTTTGTCTGCGGAGGCAAAGGAAGCAACTGGTAGTGACCTCTTATTTTCTGGAACACAACCAGAAACTGTCAAAATTTCTTTACGACCGGCTTCCAGTCAATCGACGCCTAACAGAAAACGAGTTGGGTACATGCAAGGCTCTGCTAAAATATGGAACGCCGTCATCTGAGGTGCGGCCGTTTGTGGTGGATGACGTTATGCTTTGCTACTTTCATGTCCGCAAAGCCATCAGGAAGCCCGTATGTATCATTTATTTTCCACGTCTTTTTGGTCATAGACACATTCTGCGAACAGCCAGCACACATTTCACCGTATGGCTCACCTGGACAATGCTGTACAGTAGGCTTTATGTTCTTCGTATTTCAAGCACACAGATTCCGACAAGATCTACAGCTACTGCACCGAATCGATCCCCGATTTCTCTCCTATCTTAGGGCTCGATAGCTGTACATCACCCGAAAATGTGTCATACACGCGCAGTCCGGAATGGATAATTTTGGTAATGTGACCAACAACGGACTGGAGAATGCAAAAGGGCGCCTTAAAGATCGGGTGCACCACTCCGACATGTTGGAAGATGCCATTGAAAAGGTGTCCCGGCACGCCGAGTGGCTCATGCGGGAGATGTATACGTTGTACCATTGCGACATGCAGCAAATCCTGGAGGGTGACGCCTACGTTCTAAACGTAGTCTGTCGAATGACGACATATGCTTGCTCTCTCGTTTTGAGGCACTTGGGTCTGCGACTGCCGTATGAAAGTGTCGGAACAAACAAGGTGAGGTCGAGCTGCGTAAACTGACTTATAGCTTGTGATGCAAACACCCAGATGCTCCCAGACTGTCGACACCTGTGCTGGAGAATGCACTTGCCCTTTCTATCAGGCGATGTGGCGATGCGTACACCTGTTCTCTGTATTTCGAGATCAGTCCGTTCCGAGCAGTAAGAACTATTCATCATTGACCTTTTATTAGCTTGCTTTCCAACCGACCAACCTACCGGAAAAAAGCGTACCCTTACACTTGTTCCCAAACCACCACCGACAGCTTTCGACGGTCTTTGTAAACAACTGAATCGGGTGATGGATAAGCTTCAGAGGCTGGAACCCAGGAGGGCCAGCGCCATATTTCAGTGGTTGATTGTTCGGGGACAAATCCTGCTGCGTCAAGCCTCAAAGTCTGCAACCGACCACCTGCAGTTGGTGGTCGAGGATGCTGCACATCAACCCAGATGGAGGTCTTGAAACACTGACTTTGGGTTCTGTGTGCTCCGTGACCGGCCTACTGCTACCAGTGACCGCTGGTGTACAACGGATCGCGTGTCATATCACGCCGACTGTTGTGACGGTGAACCCTGCCCACTGTGTGGTGGTTTTCAAGCCTGTCCCAAAGGTGAACCTACATGAAAATAAATCACTTTTGGTTCTTAGCTCCGGGCCGATCCCGAAAACGCAGAGGTGTGCTTGCTACCCCGTCCGCAAAGAGGGCATCTTTCGATGTTGACCGGGACCGAAGCACAGATTCCCAGCACAGTGTGTCCCGTAAGTTTGTGTACGTCGGAGTTTTCGGGTCCACAGAGGAACTACTCGACAGCCGTGAGTCAATGTCTGACGACTACGACTAACTCTGTAAAGCGTCAGCTAGATGAAAGAGACGAAGATGATTTCGTGTGACCCATCGGCTCCGAAAAGTTTGTCTGTTACTGGGGTCCTATGCGTTATATGTAAATATCGTATTTTTTGAGAGGTGCAGTAAATAGGCATGCGAAATAATCGCTGAAGATGGCACTGTGTGAATAGGCGTCTACAACAACATAGTCGCTGCAGTGAATTTTGGGATAAGTATCTCTACCTGTTTGTCGGCCGCCCGCCTTATGGTGATATTTCGATAACCTGAATTATATCTTCCTCTCATTTCGGGACTTCAAAGGCCAAATGAACACTCCTCACGAAGAAGAAAATGCGCCTCCCAGAAGGACATATGTAAACTTCAAAAAGAACAATATATCTCAAAATTTCATGACGTCCATTTTGAGCCTTTCCTCCGTTACTGATGGATGGGCGTGAGTCGTGTACCCCAAGCCGCATGTTAGTCGTGTGCGTCGGTTAAGATCGTTCAGCTGCCTGGTATTATCAACGTAGGCTCTATGTGGCTAGTTAGTTAGGCATCTTGTACCCCAAGCTGCATGTTAGTCGTATGCGTCGGTTAAGATCGTTCAGCTGTCCGCTATGATTGACGTATTTTCCATGTTCCTTATCGATAAACCTGGAGGTCTTTCTAGCATAGTTCGCAACCTATAATGGAAAACTCTGGTTTTTGCCAGCAAACGTGCACGATGTTTAGCAAATAATTAGCGAGCACTACGGAATTTTTACTGGCAACAAAGAATCATCGACCAAAATTTGTTTGCACGAAAGCGCCTACGCATATGATGCATCTCCAAAGGCCATTTAGATTCTAGAATGTTGAGGAAATTTGTTCCGGTGAAAAATACTTGAAAGTTGCGTTTATTGTATGTGAGTCACCCTTTTCCACAGTTCGCGATTTTTTATCATCAGGTAACGTATTCACAGTCGGCGGTGTTTATTGACCTTGAGAATACGCTCACTTAAACAAATCGCCATGGCAAATGATTTTCAATAATACAGGAGCATATACATTATACACAGACAATTTGCAATATGAAGTGGCAAGTCTGAAAATGCCGTAGCTTTCGAGAAACCAATCTCATTGTGCGAATAGCCAGCGGCGACCTTGACTCCCTATCTAGTCAGGTTTCAGAAGCGCTCTCCTATCGGCATTGCATTCGTATGGGCGCTTGCTGAATCCGTGATGGCGGCCGCTTCGAAAACTGTCAGCGTTCGCGATGTTGAGCTCAACTTTTTGGAGACATCCGTTCTTAGTGGCACAGCGGCCGTCATTTCGAAAACTGTTTCGGCTCCGATTGAACGGGTGAAGTTGATGATTCAGAATCAGGATGAGATGATGAAACAAGGACGGCTGGATAAGCCGTACACTGGTATGATTGACTGCACGATAAGGACATTCAAGACTGAAGGTAAAGTGGCGATCAGATCTCGAGACCTATTTTTAAGGAGTCATACCTTTCTGGAGGGGGAACGTTCCAAACTGCATTAGATACTTCCCCACCCAAGCTCTAAATTTCGCGTTTAAAGATAATATTAGGGTTCTGTTCAACCCGCAAAAGACAGATACTTACTGGGTTACTTTTTATAAAAACGTCGCAAGTGGGGGTGCAGCGGGAGCCGGCTCCTTGCTTTTTGTTTACTCCCTGGATTATGCGCGTACTCGTCTCGCTAACGACGCGTTAGCCGCCTCGAAAGGTGCTGGTACCAGAGAATTCAATGGATTGGTTGATGTCTATGTGTAAGTCACCGTTTTTGTCACATTTGGTGTAGTAAAACATTCCGTTCGGATGGAATAGCTGGTCTTTACCGTGGATTTTGTCTGTCCTGTGTTGGGATAATCGTCTATCGAGGGTTTTACTTCGGCCTTTATGATACGATCAAACCGATTGCTCTTGGTGACAACGCAGGATTGACAGTTAGTTTCATCCTTGGCTATGCAGTGACAATAATATCCGAAACGTTGGCCTATCCCATTGATACCGTTCGACGGCGTTTGATGATGACTTCCAGTAAGAATTTCCATGTTTTTTTTATTGAATTTCCTGCAGATCAGGCTGTCAAATATCGAAGTTCGTTGGACTGTGCAGCACAGATTTTACGAAAGGAAGGGCCGATGTCCTTCATGAAAGGAACGTTTGCCAATATCCTCCGTGGTATTGCCGGTGCTGGTGTTCTTGCTGGATTCGATAAGTTGAAAGAAATATACGTCTCATTCCGCATTCCGGTGAAGCCTGTGCCGTAACAATCATGCATTCCAGATATCCTCACTTGTCTTCTTGTAGTTCTTTTTATACATGTTATGCTTCAGTGACCTGGCTGTTGTTCCACTTTTGTTCATTTGTGACACCTTCAGGTAGGGACTAGAGCCTGTCATCGTGCTCATTGGTTAGTTTTCGTCCGAATCACAATAGATCTCTCGAACTTCTTTAAAGCACCTATTTTCTTGTGACCAGTTCCTCCTATGACAGTGGAGTCAGTATGACTCTTATAATAGACTGGACTATTTTGTATTGTTGGCCCGGAGCATTCAGACCGTTTACTCCCAGCAGCTTCTTTTGTAGCTCAAAATTTCTCACCAGTGGCGAACTGAATTGTCGGCAAGTCTGCGTTTCCAGTCAAACCCCGGTGTCTCGACTGCTCTTGTCTAAACTTGAACAACCCGGCCATGTCTCGGTATTCGTGCGTCCTTCGGGTGACATGGCAACTAAGCACCAAATGTGTGCTACATCTGGACGGTTGTTTTTTGTAGCTATAGAAAAATATGCGTACCCAGGTCATTTGGCAAATAAGGAAGAAAGGTAAAGAAATAATTAACCGTCCGTTATCGCCGTCCAATGGTCTGTGTACTCGCACAGGGGCTCGTTTCACTCATCCAAGATAGTCAGTGGGAGAATTAGGAGCTCCTTGGATGCCAAGCTAAAATCATCCATACAACTTCCGTTCCAGTACCACAGACATTAGGCGGTCTGAAGCTGCGGTCATGACATTGATCCACAAATTAGGTAACACGACTCTAACGTCAGTTTTGATGTGACGTCCTGTATTCCTTCAAGGTCTGTCGAGCAATGCTAAAGAGGTTCCACCTATTCTATCGCGGTTCCTGTCAAAGGAGAAGAAATCTGAACGAGAAGTGTCACCTGTTTGTGGTGCGAATTATGTCCTTACATAACCCACCTCCAGGGTTAGTTTCTCTCAAAGGTTGCAAACCAAAAATCACCTAAACTTATCCGGGTCGCCTCTAGTGTCTCCTGATCAGCTTTTGAATGATGAGAATATACAAATGACTACGATGTGACATTCTGTAAGGCTGTCTTGCTGCTTGAAAGTACAACCACAGGTATTTCCAGGTTTCCCAAACATGAACAGGTAAAGTCACAGCCACAAAGCTTCGTGTCAGTTCTTTCGAAATCTTACCGCTTAGGTGTGTCGGACGGTTATTGTCATTAAAGGCAGAGCTTCAAAGCCGCGCACAGTTCGCGTCACCATCCGGCCAAACCACATTTAGGCATGGGATCTCTAATAACTGGCTTTGCTAAGGGTCTAGTTGTAACCGATACTTCATCAGATACGACTGTTCCCTCGCAGACTGGAGAGCCTGGTGAGTCCGAGTGGTAAGAAAATGAAAGAGGTGGAAACGTCTGAAAATATCCACGTTTTGTTCAACTGCCTGCTTGCAAATATCCACCTCAAGGTTTCTGTAAGTCCTCCAAAGGCCGTAATCGCCTGGTGTTCTCCAGCAAAATGGGGCATTTAAGCTGGTTGCTTCCAGAGATGACAGCGTTTCACTTACCACCGCCTTTCTGTAAGAGTGCAGTTGTGTAAGTTTGCCTTAGTCGGCCGTTACTAAACCCCTAGTTTAGACGGCTTCTCACCTGCTCTAACTAGGACTGACTTTGGGTCCTTCAGTCTTGCTTGTTTATATCCGTTTGGAGGGCCAGGTCACTCCAAATAAGTGTCATGGCATTACCGATAAGAAACGGTGTAATAACACTAGTGACGTACTATTAGTAATAACCCTTCAGTTATAGTAACCTTCCGATGCACACCTGCTATGCAACTAGAAAGGGTTTTGTAAGCATCAACCTTCTTAAATAATGCCATACATTGGAAGGAAGGGCAGGTATGGAGTGGCCGATTACCAGTATGGTGTCCACCTCCAAAGGCTCACTTAAAATGTCTGAATATACAGTGGAGGCACGAATGCTGCTTGTATCGGTTGCTCCTTATGTTTTGAGACGTCCGTTCGCTTTTTGTTAACCCATGAACTGGTCTGCACAGGTTTCTTCAGTGTTGTCCGCCAAGCCTCACTGTACACTGTCTTTTCAAAATTACCAACATATCTGCACGTCGCCTCGCAGAGAGGTCTATGTGCGGATGGTTTCTATTTATGGCAAGAAAACGTCCTCGGAACAAGGAGAATCTTGGAGTTTACGACTCTTGGTGGGCGGAAATTCTCGTGCAGCTTACGAAGAGTAAAAACATGCTGATGTGACATTTAACAATAGTCCTTGAATTGTGTGATAACAATGTAGTCGCCGGGTTTCCTACTTTGATCGGAGTTGGTGGTTATTAACATAATTTATGTACCCTTCGGAGGGGAGTGATCTGATATACTCAGTTTACCATCAGCCACATATGTCGCTGTGCTTCAAAATCACCCCGAAGTCTGGTTAAGGTCCCATGAAAAATGGACTCATACGCCGTTCATGTTGTCTACTTGGGAGTCTATGATACCCAAGTAAAACTCATCTACTCCTGCAATCATCATGATCATCAACGACAGCATGACATCAGTGCTCAACACCAATGCTTCACTGCCGTACAGCCATGACTTATTTGAAAGCCTTATTGTAAAGAAAAG